TATTCATCTATATATATAGGTCCACATGAAAGGAGACCTATCAATAATATCTACAGAGATGTAGCTAGTTTACAAAAATGACGAAACATTATGAGGTGGATACAGAAGTTTGGGTGCGGAATTATTGTAGATTTGGGGTTTCATATGGCACCATATACAGATAGATAGATATGGATCGAAATCATGGGCAGTGGCCATGTGCAAGATCATCATGTTGATTCATAATCAAAGAGAGGATCTCGACATCGATCTGATTAACTTCATATCATAATCCGGTTATGATTATTTTTTCACTCTTGTTAGAAAGTAAAATTGAAAATTTTCAACTCAGTTCGTCAAGAACTTATCGGAATAGTGTTCGAGAAATGATGGTGAAGTTTGTCGAGATACAATTAATTAAAGAAATATGAGGATTATGGTTGCCGACTCTCTTTATGTTATAAGTTTCGATTGAATGACATAAGTAAGTGGAAGTAACGTAAAAGGGAGATGAATAGCTGATAGTATATCGTCATACGATTGTACCACTTTTTAATGTATCATTTTTTATACGCCAGTTATTATAAAATCTATTAAAATATTAAAGAGAGTTATATAAGATCATGTAATACACGTAGCTCCACCACAACTCGCATTCTCCTACTATGTGTTTGAGGCTTTCAAAGCCAACTTGACTCGACCTCTAAAAGTTACTATGGTATAGTTAGCTACATGGAAAATTGGTAAAATGGTAATCTTCTCCTTTATTACACAAGGATTGTGATGATGATGAGGGAGGAGACCAATGTATATAGACTAGAGAGAACCCCCACTTGCCGGTCTTTGTTAGTAAGCAGATTGGTTGGCAATGAATCTAAAATGAGGTGAAAGAGAGAGTCACCCAACTCGAAAGATGAAAACAAATCGATACAGCAAGGCAACCATGTGACCTGGTTTTATGCAGATAGTTGGAGGACCAAAACAGAAACAGAAATTGAAATTAAAATTAAAACCAAAATAGAAACCAACCATGACAAGGATAGCATGAGATCGAGAGAGAGATGAATGTTAGAGAGAAGATGGCAGTGGTGGCTATATGTCGAATTCTGAATGTTTTAGCAAATGATATAATATTAATAATTGAATCTCTTCTGATAAAAGTTATTCAGACCATATAGTTTTTGTCATGATTTAGAATTTCGATGATTGAGAAGTTTTATGTTCGAACTTTGAGGATCCCCATTTGTTTCTTTATAAGGACGATATTGATTTTTACTTTTTTTTGTAATTAAAGTACTACTTAAGGGATTTGATCCAGGTTCTAGACCAGTGATATTACGACTGGGCCAAGTCCTTGTTCATGAGGATCCCCATTTGTTTAGCACATAATATTAGGATATGTGCAAACTTCAAACAATTACATCATGCTTCTTTTTATGACATAAAATATACGTCGTAGACTATCTTGATATACACATTCTACCAAAAAAAATCTTGATATACACATGAATATCCTAGAAAGGCAAGAAAATATTGTCAAGAACTAGTTAATCCCAATAACTCGAACTGTTGGGAGAAATTCAATCGTGGATCGTATATGGACTTGAAGTTAGCACATGTACGACCACTATGTGATTAACAGAAACAGATGGGGAAATTGAGATTTGAACAGAAGACCTCTTGATAACAGAAGATTCTGATACTATATCAAGAACCAGTTGATCCCAATAACTTGAATTGTTAACAGAAGTTTAACTGTAAATCATATACAGTCTACTAACAAACATACGATTCCAGTGTTCTTTTATCCAACGAAAAACTCTATGCATGCTCAGAAGCTATCCGACCCATGAAAACCAACGATCCAAGTCAGTGGGATCAAATTTGATAGAGCATGGGCATACCATGAACCATCAAGAACCATTGTTAGGCTAGCTAGTTACAAAAGATGCCATCTTAATTATGATGATATTGGTGCATGCATGCATGTCAACCATGGAGGATAACCATACATACATGGTCCATATATATGCATGCATCAAGTCTACAGATCATATTATGTGTAATTGCATTTGCACAGGAAGGCTGGATTGGTTTTGTAGCATTGTGGGGCAATTTTTGTATGTGAAGAAAGATAGATAGATAATATATTTGCACATCCGTGATTCCTTCTGTCCATATCCGATGTGACTGGTCTGCTAGATTGCCTTTCTCTTTCTTCACATTTCGTTTCCATTTTACCCTCTTCTCTCGTTGTGAAAGGCTACATTATTATGGCATCAAATGTTTTTCACTCCCAAATCATTCTTCTGAGCGAGTGGAATATAAATGTGATGCCACGGAAAAGATTCGGGGAAGAACTCCATGACCACGACGACCACCTTGATTGATCCAACCATCGATCCTTCGTTTAATGATCTACTTATATGCTAAGATTAGAAAACTAGTAAATGGGTTTACATATAGTAGCCTCGAATCAGAGTCGGTTTGGGTTGTAGTGTCCGCTTTCTAGTTCCCTAACCTGCGTTATTTTGAATACTTTTAATTCTTAGCATTATTTTATTTCGAGAGAACGGCTAGAATTCGTTATAATACATTTTGGATAAATGTCACATTTCGTCACTGAGATTAATAAATCGTGTCATGTTTAGTCACTAGAAAAAAGTAATATCAATTAACGTCACTCGAATTACTGAAACATGTCACATTTAGTCGCTCTCCCGTTAGTTTCCGTCCAACTCTGTTAATGGAGTTGGACGGAGGCTAATGGAGAGTGACTAAATGTGTTATGTTTAAGTAATTTGAGTGACATTCATAAAAAAAAAAAGAGTAATTCGAGTGATTGGAGTTAACCGGAGGCTCACGAGAGAGTGGCTAAATGTGACATGTTTCAGTAATTCGAGTGACCCAAATTGATGTTAATTTTTTCGAGTGACTAAACATGACATGATTTAGTAATCTCAGTGACCAAATATGACATTTACCCGAAACATTTCAATCGCTATTATTCGAATTCATAATTTCCTTCAATTGTCATCGTAATTTTTTCATATCTCTTGTTCTTCTCCAATTCTCTCAAGTCGTTCAATCAGTCTCTTGAGACATTTTTACTATACATAATAAGCTTCTCCAACAATCGTTGATTAACAAAATATAGTTGGAGATCGAGACTATACAATATGTTGCATTCCAAAAAGTTTCCAATGTGCATACAAAGCTTTTTGTAGGGTTGTAAATGTGGACAACACCAGTACTCTTCCGGTCGAATTCAACGTCGTGGAAAGACAGCAATTCGAACCTGCAAAAGGAAATTTGCATTGATAAGCTTTTGTGGACTGGTGCTGTCGACATGCGCCATGTTACAAAAAAGATTGCCACTAGCTGAGCGTCAATGGCTGGAAGGATTGTTTGCTATAAGAAACAGAGATATCTGTGGCTCAGTTTCGGCGTCCGAGATCTCTTGGTAGGGTTGTGAATTTGTGTGATGTGGTGGCTCACTGGCTCTCATTTGCACTTGCAGAGTTATCTTTCGACCGCAGATCGAGAGGACAAGTAGGTAGGGTTTTGCAAATCGCACGTAATGTAAAAATCACAAAGGATTTTAGTCGACCATTGGTCGACGGCAATTACGACAGCTCGAAACGTTTTTAAAAAAGATTTAAAGATGTTTTGTTACATATTTGTGGATAGCTCGTGTATTTTACCGTCAGTGGAATTGTAAAAACTAGGATTTTGGTATCGTAGTATAGTATTTCGTTTGTAAGAATTGCTTCAAAGATTGTTTAGACGATTTGATCATATAATGTAGTTTTATACTATAACATTGCCAATACAAAAAAAATGGATCTTTAGTAGGGGTTTTTTTTAGTGTTTCTTAATTAATAACATGATTTAGTAGTAGAGTGATGTAACAAAATCGCAATAATGTGAAAATCGCCATAATACATATTTACCAAATGACTCATCAGGTGTATTTGAAATCTTAAGTATGGGTACTTTAATTGATGCTATAACATTTATGTTATTAATTATTTTGTCGGCTATGATAGTAATAAACTCTTGACCGATGCTAAACTTGACGTTTGTTACAATGTTGCTTCGTTCACGTTTTAAGTTCCTTTCAATGCTTGATAATACGCTGCAGATTTTATAATTTGTTATCGATCACTTGATTGGTTGATACTAACATTAATTACTTAGTATGTGACAGTAAAATTCATTTTACTCTGAAACTCATCTCACGATCAGTCAGGGGCGGACCCAGGGGGTTAGGACACCCCTAAATTTTGGGAATACGATTATCCAACCCCTGGTGGTAATTTATGTATGGATAAAAAAAATATAATTGATAGTGAGGGACACCCCTGAAATTTGAAAACATGATTATCCTACTATCAGTGTCATTTGTGTATAGGAATATAAGTGGTAGATTGGATAATTCAAATCTAGAACACTATTCTTATTAATAAACTTAATTTTCGTTGACCTACCACTCATTTGTTGTTTGATTTTGAAAAATGTAATAGTAAAATGTCATTTCCTATCTCTAATTATTTTAAAAACCTAACAATTAAACTAATTTCAAGCTACCCTTAATGCGGCAAGTGTTGAAAGAGTCTTTCAGTTTTGGGTTACATCGAGAACAAGTTTACAAATCGAATATGCGATAAGTTCATGAATGATTGTCTAATAGGGTATATAGAGACAATTTTTTTTAACACTATAGACACCAAGTGTATTCTACAATTATTTCCGAATATGAAAACAAATCATGGACTTTTTTAACCTGTACGAGTAAGGTATTTTCAAATTTACGATTTTATTTTTATTAATTATTAATTATTTTTATTTAATTTATTTTTAAAAAATGGACACCCCTATAAAAAATTTCTGGGTCCGCCACTGCGATCAGTTATTTTTTATTCACATTAGGCACATAAGAACTCAGTTCCCGCCAAATGAACAACCCCACTGGATCGTTTAAACGGCGGCGTTTTAACCTCAAGCTTTCCCCGGGTTCTCTGCAACGGTTCAATTTTCCCGCTAAAATTATTTCCATACCCTCGTTTTCCCATTCTGTTCCTCTCCTTCCAAATTCCCGTCCCCCTAAAAAAAGAGCTCTTCCCTGATCAATATGCAGCGTCCAATTCGAACCACCCAAGAAATTCTTCCCAATATATTCCTTGTGAGAACAAAGATGGAAGAAACTGCCCAAAGATCCCAAATTTCCACCTTCCCGAATCCCACCGTACCGTCACCGGCGGCCACCGCTTCCCCGCGCTCCGTCCGCCGCCGACATGGGGATCCTCTACGGGATGGTGGCCAGAGGCCGGGTGGTGTTGGCCGAGTTCAGCGCCGCGCAGACCAACGCGGGTCAAATTGCCCGCCAAGTGCTCGACAAATTGCCCCAAGGAAACGACGACATCAATTCCTCCTATTCCCACGACCGCTACGTCTTCCACGTGAAGCGCACCGACGGCGTCGCCGTCCTCTGCATGGCCGACGATGCGTCAGAGAGTGAGTGATTCCGTTTTCATTGCTTGAAATCCGGATCCTTTTTTGCTTTCCGGGGTTGGATTTTGATTTGATGAATGAATGAATGCAGGGAGGATGCCTTTCGCGTTCCTCGAGGACATCCACGGCCAGTTCGTCCGGACGTACGGCCGGGCAATCAGCTCGGCTGCCGCCTACGCGATGAACGATGAGTTCTCGAGGGTGCTGAGCCGGGAGATGGAGCGTTACTCGAATGATCCCAGGGCGGATAGGCTGGATCGTATCAGGGGCGAAATGCACGAGGTGGGTATTGTATTAGGTGTTCGATGAAATGCCTCGATGAAAATTTGATCAAGGAAATTTGATGTGCTCTCTTTTTTATTCTGTTTATGGGACTCGAGGGCAGATGCGGATAGTGATGATAAACAACATCGAGAAAGTGCTGGAGAGAGGTGACCGGCTCGCGGTCCTTGTCGATAAAACTGCGGCGATGCAGGGGAATTCGATTCGATTCAGGAGGCAGAGCCGCCGGTATAGAAACGCCATGTGGTGGAGAAATGTCAAGCTTTCGTACGTTCTGGTTCATCCCCTCTCTCTTGATATATTCATAGAACAATTTCGTTCTTCGGTACATGATTGTTCCTTCTTTCTATGCTTGCAGGCTGATGCTGCTAGTGTTCATCTTCCTGCTCGTGGCTTACATAGTGTTTTCTTTGGTCTGCAATGGCTCTATTTCTCCATTCCTTCTTCCTCTCTGCTTCAAATGAGTGCGCCAGTGGAGCATTCTGCATTTCACTAATGTTTCTAGTTCTTGGGCAGGGTTATACTCTCTCTTTGTATAACTTCGTTCATTAGGAAGTCTCTTTAAGGATGGGATTTTTGTTTTGTGGGGAGATGGGAAGGTGGATTTGTTTCTCCCCTCGGAGAATTTTTTGACTTTTTTTAGTTGGTTATCTTGTTTATTTTGTAGATGATTTTCTATTCAATCGTCATAAATCTTAACATGAAACATTGAATAATTTATACACATTATTGAAAAGTAAGATTAAAAAAAATGCTAAGTGTTGGCCTCCTGACTAGCGTCTAGTTCGATTAAGCGTGTTGCCTAGACGCGATTGGGCGTGCGAAGCAAAATTGAAAGAAATATGGAAAATGATCAATAGAGAGACCGAAACTGGTATATTGAAAGATCAATAATCATTTTCTTTCACACGCACCTTATATGAACTCAACAATTTTATTGTAACAAAGCCAAAAAGAGATGAACTCATTCAATTGTTGCTGATTTGCAGTAACAATTAAGAAATAAGTCGGTGATTTACAGTAAAATTATAAATTATTTTAGAAAAGAATTAACAAAATAAAAAAATCAAATTAATAATCCAACAGAGTCATCTACAGATCTATCCCTACTCTTTATCTTCTCACGGCCCTCTTCCTACCTTTTCATCGAACCTAGAAGAAGAAAATCTCAAATTGGAAAACAAAAATCTTGCCTTCCAATCGACATCCATGCCAACGCGCGCAACTGTTCATGCATCTACCATCGCTGAACCCAATCCAAAAGCTCCTCTTCTTTCTCTTACTCTGTACCGCGACAATCTTCCTCCGCGCCACCTAACAGAAGAAGTATTTTCTTCTGACAATGCAAATGGAAATGGTGGCTCGAACCATGAAAAGCAGTGAGAAGGAAAGTAAGTAACTTATGGGAATGGTGTCGTCCAGTATCAAATATAAAAGAACAATGGATAGTACATGTGGACATTAGTTATTGGTTGTCTTTGTAACCCTTTAATTTGTTTTTCTTTCCTTTAAGTTGTACGAATTCCTGCTACATAAAGGGCCAACAGCACAGCCCTAAGCCTATGGCATCTTTTTATCGAATATACAAGTGTAATAAACCTACTGGTACAATTAACACCCTCTTAAACGAAAGCCACCCTGAGATTGAAGTTTGCACAGGTCCGCCATACCATATGCTTGAAGGAAAAGTTTAATATTGGGTGTCATGAGGACTTGAACACGTAACCTCAAGATCAAACCAGCTCATACCATGTCAGAAACCAACTGGTCCAATAACTCAGAGTTGTTGGAAGAGACCCATATATAGTACTTAACCACTTCCTCACAAAAAGAAAGAAAGAAGATGAAAGGCAACACAACCTTTCTCGCCCTCTGAATTCACAGACCAATTTCTTTGTTATGGTATCATAGGATAGGCTGGTTAGGGTTATGATGCCCTTTTCCTCCTTTTTTGTTCTTTGTTGTTCTTCTTGTTCTTGTCTCCTTTTTGCTCGTTTCCTTTCTAATCAACAATGTATGATGAACAAACACCACCCCACAATGTGGGATCACAAACCCATTCTAGTTCCCGTGGAGGCAGATCTACCACTGAATACCCACTCACAGACCCATACTATTATCTCTATGGGTCAGATTCTAGTTTCTCAAAAGCTTACCGCAACCACCTACAACAATTGGAGTGCAACGATGATTGATGGACTCGCCTCCAAAAACAAGCTAGGGTTCGTTGATGGGAGCTTATCAGAAGTAGCACGGACGGATGCTATGTACAAGCCATGGACAACTTCACGGTAAAGAGTTGAATGTTGCAATCAGTTGATGATCTTATCAGCAAAAGTGTGAGGAGACTGAAAACAGGGTAATTTGAAACAGGGTATGCCCAAGGTGACCTTGTTAGAGTAGCAAGAGTTAGAAGAAGAACTTGCTAAGTTGTCCAAGGAGGAAACAACGAGGACTTAGATGTAGATATTGCTTAGTGCATAGGTGATCTTGTAAAGTTTATTTACTTTGAGTACTGTATAGGTTTTTAGTATTTTATATATATATATGATATATTGTAAAGGATATTGTAACATTTTATTTCGAATTAATAAAAATCTGCCTACCGGCTTCTCTAAACGTCAGTCTAGGAAGAACTAAAAATTACAAACTAGTTCATGTCGATCTGTACTTGTTTGCCTACCACCCATAGCACTTATGCAGTTATCAATGTTATCAATGGTTATAGAAACACCAATCTTGTGATACAGTTCATTAGAGGGCTCAATGAGAACTATGCTATGCCTAGGTCTCAAAGTCTTATTCACTGATCCTTTACCTATTATGGATCGAGTTTTTGATCGAAAGTCATGTCAATGTAAACAAATTAAAAAAATTCAATCAATTAACGTTCTAATTTCATTTATTTACTTATTAAACAGTAACATGAAAATAAAAAATGTGCTTTTTCATTTTTTAATATAAAGGGCCGCAAATTTTCATTTTATGGTTTAATAAGTTAATAAATGAAATCAGAAACAAATTAATTGATTGAAATAATGAAATTATAATTGTTTATATTGTTTATGCTGACATGACATTGACTTGGCTCTCTCTCTGTACCCGACTATGAGTCGTTTGTTTGATTTTCAGGCCTGGCTGAGAACCAGGGTGTAACTGTCTATCTTTTTCTTTAATAGAAGATTATCTTTTGCAAAAAAAAACTTGGCGCGTTGACCGATAGTCAACGGCATTGACCTTCCAATTTGACGGTCAACCACCGCGTACAACCAAAATAGTATAAATAGTGCATGATTAAGCGAGGATAGAAATTTTGGAAAATACGGATTGAAATAGTATATTGGTAAAAAATTCTGGCCCTAGTATTAATCTTAGGATCTCCACACATCAGGCAGAGTAGTGAGAAAACACATAGCACAGTCAGGTCTGCTCCACATTAATTTACTAAATACATACCTTTTTCATGTTGATACATTCCTTTCCTAAAGCATCGTCAGGAAAATAAAATCCAAGGTCGCTTCGCTTGTGTCGGCTGGCAACTATGATTTCTCTTCCAGTAGTCCCTTGTGCTCATTGGCTTGCGATGGACTTATGGTCCATCCACGTAAGCCCTCTGAAGAGTCTCATGCAACGGCGGCCCACGCACGTCCATGTGAAGCCCATGGGTCATGTTATTCATTCACGTTCAGCCCATGCACAAGTGTCCAGGGACGACGAGGAAGACATAATTCGTGGCCAATGAAGACTCGTCCGGCGGTGATAGTTGACCAATCCTTGGCTGAATGAATTTTGCTTTATTCTTTATATTAATTAATTTATAATTATACTTAAAATATGTATTCGAACCGTTGGTCGAGTAAATTTTATTTTATGTTGATAAATTTATTCATGTTTTTAAACAATTTGAGATTTTTTAAAATTTTAATCCATTATTTCAAAATAATATTTATGGTATTTGTTAGTTATGACATAAGCGATAATTAGTTAATATGTATTTTTTATTAAGTCGTCCTAGTTTATTTTTGTATATTTTTTCATATCTTAGAAGAAATTTGTGAACTTTTTATTATCGGATATGAAGGTGAAGTTGGAAGAAAATATATGTCATCTAGAATGGTAGAAATTGAAGGTATATAAAAAAAATCAAGAGACTAACGTAAAGGTTATGCCTAGAAATCTCAAATATCGAACACGAAAACATAATGCTTATTGTATAAATAATTATAATTTAGTGTATAGGCTTGTTTGAATAATAAGTTGGAGCTGTTAAGTGTTAGTACTAATGCACATATGGTTACACTATATGTGATTATGTTTTTCCCTTCATTTCTCAATCGTTTGAGCCAGTGGCGGATCCAGGACATAGTAGTGCACTGAGCCGCATTTCATTAGAAAATTGGATACTGTAAAAAAATCCTAGTTTTTTTTACAATATCAATTGTATACGTCGATCTTTTAATATAGCGAAGTCATCAATAATGGAGTTTACATCCATACCAATAGCATACTAATCTCTCTCAAATAAATAGTTTACCAATCAGCGAGAAATTCATCGCTCATTTTGTTACGCAAATCATATTTCACCTGTTCCATTGTTGAAAAGGTTTTCTCCATAGTAGTTGTTGAAACGGGCAATGTCAATACTAGACAAATCAATCGACTAATCAATTTGTATTGTGTGTTCATCCATATTTCCACCAGCTGCTCTAATAATTTTTCAAGAGAGCAAACTTCAGTTCTTTTAGTCCTTTGAGTTTTAGACTCTTAGAATTTTAGCTTACATTGTTTGTTTTTCTTTAGAAAAGAATCATTGGAGCTAGAATTTTTAGGCTAAATTTAGAGTTGTGATTGGATTATGTTCATCTAACCCATTTTCTCAATTACACACAATCTTACTATAAAATAACACTTGACCGAATGGTTAAAATCGACAAACTGTGCTCGACCAAGACACGCAATTCCAGAGTGACGAGCTCCAAACTTATTATGCTCATTACGGAATCCTCCTCAGATATGCCTCTGTTGCCTACCCACAAGCCAATGGTCAGGCTGAGTCTGCCAACAAGAGTATCTTGTGGGGGTTAAAAACTCGTTTGGATACTACTAAGGGAAGATGGGCCGAGGAGCTCCCGCATGTTTTATGGGCTCACAGGACCACCTACAAGAACGTCACCGGTGGCACGCCCTATGCGCGCACATATGGTACTGATGCTGTACTACCAATCGAGATGGAGTTAGCCTCATATCGGATCTTTTCCTTCAACCCAAGCACCAACCTACAGGAGCTCACGCACAACCTGGACCTAGCAGAGGAACGACGTAAGGACGCACGACTCCGCCTCGTTGCTTCCCAAGATCGAGTTGCAAGATACTACAACTCCAAGGTGAAGCAGTGCCAGCTCCAAGTGGGTGATTAGGTTCTAAGGAGAAACTTCCGCTCTGATCCCCGCCAGGGAAAGTTCACTCCCAAGTGGGAAGGACCATACAAGGTGAGAGAAGTTGTCGGCCCCAACAACGTTAAACTGGAGGACATCGAAGGCAGTGATATGTCAAAAACTTGGAACTCCATGCACCTACGACGCTACTTCACCCCAATGTAATAATGTATCCCGAAATAAAGTCTAGTGTATGATGAAATAAAAGGGTGATTCGGCGCACTTCTTAACTTGTTCCATGGTAGTTTATAACAAAACCAACGAGAAATAAAGGATACATAAGAAGAATAAGAAATTGTCATATCTCAACCTACTAAAACCCAGGAGGGCGAGGGGGGAAACATGAGGGGTAGATGGGAGACCCAAGAAATGAATAGCTGGCAGGTCTAGGCGCTCTAAGTCATCCACCCCCACACCGGTCGAGCCTGCAAGATTGCTAATCTGTCGCCCAAAGGATCCCAGAGAACTCAAAGAATGGGTCCCGGGGTCAAGAGCTCTCCTAACCGAGCTCGCTCCACCCGAA